CCATGCCACTTTAGTTGTAATTTTAGTGGAGATTTCACGGCGCTCGCAACTGCATAAGGTCATATGAGCGCCAAGGGGTGGACGTCAATAGAGAATTCCTTACAGGATATCAGGCTTACTCTGCTCACCTCTCTAGCTTCAACAGCGCAAAGTCTGCTTCTACTATCAAGGCACCCCAGAAATAGCGGGGCACAAGCGTGAGACAGACATACAAAAGAAGTAGAGGAAAATGACGATAGTAAGGATTAGGAAAGAAAAAGCAGCAGTTCCCTTCTGGCGTTCAGGCACGGTTTTGAGCATGACATTGATGACTCAGCCCATTTATCAGTCCCTTTGACCCGATTCGATCCTTCAGACCCCACGGTACAGACACGTCTAACACTTGTTCTATTCTTATTTCAGAATTCGAGTCAACAGCCAACTATTATTGCTTGGCAGGTAGCTTTTATCCGCTGTGTGGTACATATTATCAAAGCAGCTGTAAGCCTTATGTTATTTTATTTGTTACGTTTTGTCTCAGAATGCATGATAAACAAGTTATTTGATAAAACATAACAGTGTGTAACAAAAAGCAATCAATAAATAGCATTTGTACTACGCATATCCCCGCTCCCCACCAATTTGTATGGGCTTTACAATCAATATTATATATAGTTCAAGGAGCCATTTAAGCGCTCTAAAACTCTGACAAGACGGTTCTTTATGTTTAGTTATTTTTTAATCAATATAAAGGTAAAAGCATCCAGGGTAATAATTGCATAGATCTATACGTTTAGAAGGAAGCTTTTACTTTTATCCGCCGCTTATACCCCTTTGAGTGTCTCGGGTTAGATGGATGCAACTTACAAATTAAAGCTCACCTCATCTTGTTACCTACGTGGAGTCATTTGTACACGTATACGGTTGGGGACTTGGGGGAAACTACCTCAGACTTCTTCTTCAGAACGTGTCAGGTCTGGAGCAGACATTGATGATCGTAATACCCCACTCCTTCATGTTTTGTTTGTTGTTGTTCTTTGTACCTGCCCAACTCTACCATCTGGCGCTTTTGGGTTTGGTAATAACAACCAACTGTGCAGCATTTTGGGTTTTGAAATGAGCTGTCAGTCTTAGAGTAAACACGCAGGAAATTGTTTTACATATAAATAAATACATGAGTAAATAAGTAAAAAAAAGAGTTTTTTCGCGTAATTCTGCAACATTTGCATAATTTTGGATTCCCCGCGTTTATTCACGCCCCCCCCCCCCTTTTTTTCACAAATCAATTAATTAATGCCCAGCCATGAGACTAAAGCCAGAGACAGAGAGTCAGACAGACAGACAGACAGACAGACAGCAGTCAAAAGGAGGGGGAGGGGGATCTTCTCACTGTAACAAAAACATGTGTCCCTGTTTCAGGCTATTTTTATGGTCCGGTCAGCAGATTATGACCATCACCTACCTGAGCCTCATCATTGGCGTTTCTCTCTTGACCAGTGCCGGCTGCGCCTTCTTCTGGCTAGTGGTAAACCGATGCCGTAAGTAAACGGGACCTGGTCTCCAAAGAGGACGACAACAGCTCTGACTGAGAGCAAGAATAGCATGAAGATTGTGTCTTTGAACTCTTTGTACGAGACTCTTGTGGTGTTCCGTCCGAATACCACTCAGCAAATTGTAATCGGACATTGCTGAAAAGAATGATAACAGAATACTTCTTGTTCTAAGAAACATAACTGTATGTTTATTTGCACCTGTTGTTTGTTTTTGTAAGTGTTTTACGGCACTCACAACAGCGTAAGGTCATTTGAGTGCGCGGGAAACATGCATTTTCAGTTTTGTAGGAATTCACAATTTTGAAATATACCCGGGCGGTGGCCAAAGCCTCCCCTAATCGATTTATTAAGGACCACCGAGGTATTTACACAGTAGAGGTGGGCGATTCCTGTTTTTTTTTCGGTAACCGTAGATTCCCGAATATTAAAGGCTAGGAATCGTAGGAATCGGTGCCGAATCCAATTACTTTCTTTTTAGCCAGTGATGTGATTTCTTCCAGTGGCTCTATGATTTCTTCCAGTGGTTTCGACCCGTACCCAGTATTATGATTGTATATGCAGCGACTAGCAGTTAGCCCGACCCCTGCAATGACCTCCGGCGAGTAGCAATTAGTCCGACCCTTGCAATCACTCCCAGCTAGTCCGACCCCGGCAATTATTTCCGCCGAGTCGCGATACCTATAACTACTTCCGGCGAGTAACGATTAGTCCGATCCCTGCAATTACTTCCGCCGAGTAGCGACACCCATGACTACTTCCGGCGAGTAACGAGTAGTCTGACCAGGTCTGACCCCAGCAATTACATCTGACGAGTAACGATTAGTCCGATCCCTTTGATTACTTGGGGTGGGAGGGCGCTACCCCAGGCACTACCCCACCCAATCTCTACAGCATGAAGTCAGAGACCAACGCTGACCTACACCGAGAAATGAGAGTCTATAATATAGAGCCTCGTGGGCAGACGTTACAGTTTTGGATTTTGAATTGAAAGAAAAGGGAATATTATTATAATTTAAAAACAACAACAGATGAATGAGAAAAAGGCGAAAGCAACGAATAAGTTTTGACACAGTATACTAGATCGATATAATCTTTGACAATGAATTTGGGTCCCGACTTCTCTTTCTTAAGTCTTCAGGATTCAGGATAACCTCGATGTCAGAACATAACAAAGCACCAACATTTTTTTTCTCCAAAAATACATTCTTTGAAGAAAAAATAAGATAAAAATAGAGTAACTGAGAATCGTTAGTTTACGAAAAAGGGATCGGTTCTTTTTCTCAGAAGCTGCTAGCAGTACACTGCTCAGTACGGCGTAGCTACTTCTTTTTGGTGCAAACGGCGTATAAATAATATTACTAAGATTTAACACTGCTCAGATACTGCTCAGCTCAACTGCTTTTGTAGCGCACGACCATCAAAAACCGCAATAACATTTGATCTTTGTCACCCAAGAAAGATGGTAGCTTGAACTCAACATCAGAGAAATCGAACAATCGGCACCACCGATAGTGATGATAGCTCCTGCTTTGTTCTGACCCCACTGTGAAGTAAGCCTGCCCACATTTGCCTCTTTAAAAAAAAATCCCACTGTGAAGTAAGCCTGCCCACATTTGCCTTTTTTTAAAATCCAATTGTGAAGTAAGCCTGACCACACTTGCCTTTTAAAAAAATCCCATTGTGATGTAAGCCTGCCCACACTTGCCTTTTTAAAAATCCCATTGTGATGTAAGCCTGCCCACACTTGCCTTTTTAAAAATCCCATTGTGAAGTAAGCCTGCCCACACTTGCCTTTTTTTAAATTATCCCATTGTGAAGTAGCCCTGCCCACACTTGCCTTTTTAAAAAATCCCATTGTGATGTAAGCCTGCCCACACTTGCCTTTAAAAAAAATCCCATTGTGATGTAAGCCTGCCCACACTTGCCTTTTTAAAAAATTCCCGCTCGGAAATAAGCCTGCCCCATGTTCACTCTTGCCTTTCTGGCCCCACTGTAAAGTTAGCCTTGCATTTCCCACGCTATGGCTGTCGCGATCTGTATCTGTGTGCTCGTATCAAGCCTCAAGTGGTAAAAATAAAATTCACCCCTACACCCTACATACCCCGCTAACCCCAACCCTCCCCATCCCACCCATTTCAAACGGAAGACATAAGAGAAGTTTCAACAGGAGGTTTTATTGAAAAATATGTACATATAGATAGATACAGGGTGTGCAATTTTGCTGCGGATATATTATTTACATTGTGGTTTGAAATATAGGACAAAATAAGTAATAATAGAAACACACAAACTGCAAGATAGAATGGTATCTTTGTCATGATTTATGGAATACAAGCACAGTAATGTTTTTCAGTGAGTGAAAGTTTCTCAGGTATTCGAAGCTAAGAGCCCAGTGTCAAGCGTTTTTATTACTTGGACTGGGAATGCTGTTTTGTATTTCTGAAGAACTGCCTTCCTTAGGTAGAAGGGTAACATAAAGCTAGGTAACCCCAGTTATGAAACTTCCTAAAAAATCTAAATCTTTGGATATTTGTTGTAACTTTCTGTTACTATTGTTTACTTGTTCGACAATGGCATCAATGTAATGTTACTTTTCTTACGGTGAGAAAATTCTCTTTACATGCCAAATTGCTCCATCGCATGTGTTATAATAATATAATTATAATAGGTCAGTCATTTCTGGTATTCAAGGATCAGTTACACCTCTAATGAAAGATGGATAATAACAATAATAATAATAACAGCAACAATATTAATAATAATAACTGTACTGATAAAAATAATAATAACAATAACATTAATAATAATAATTATAGTGTCACACCACATTCGATGACGATATGCTCATCAGAACTTGTTGGAAAAGAAATTTGACTCTTAAGACGTCTACACCAACTACGCATAGATGGAATAAAATAATTTTGAAAATGAAGTTCGCGCTGACACAGGTTGTGCATCATTTAGGAGGCAGGATGCTTCCACCTTCCCTGTCAGGGCCAACTCGGGTTATTAAGAGGGATACACTATTAAATACCATCAAAGTAGATAGGGGGAGGTTCTTGATTTAACCTCTTCCTAACTCAGGAACTGAACGTCCGCTTGCGGCTGTGATAAAGGGCATTAAGCCGAACCCATTCCAGCAGCAGACACCAGTACAGCGCGAAAGGACCAATATAAGGGTTTCTCAGGGACACGTTGAATTTGTTCCGTACACACTACTTTGACTGAGAAGATAAGGTGTTGACACTTTCTACACAAACTGTGCACACAGCTTTGGCCTGAGAGAAGGTGTTGGACGCTTAAAAACCCCCCACAAACTGTACACCCAACTCTTCACACAGGAAGATCTTAGATTATATGCCCTGAACTATCGCGCGATAATACTACTACTGCTAATTATAATGATAATAATACGGATAATAACAATAACAATAATAATGATAATAAATATTAATAATAATAATAATTAATAATAATAATAATATTAATAATGATAATGATAATAATAATAGTATGTGACATTTGTGTAATGATTAAAGTACACAGGCTTTGAGCGCTATATACAATAGCAACACATAAACAGTACATGGTGCTCTCACTACTAAAAATCTGTTATAATCTCTCTTGTTGGCTAAAAAAAAAAGAGTCGCCCGTCCTGCCGTGGGTGATTAGTAAAAAATTCTCTCCAACCACCAAGTGGAGAGTAGTTCATCATCAGCATATGTACGGAAAGATCTTTCACCTTACTAAAAATAGCTACAAATGGAGGATAATAATACACGGTAGTTTGTCATTACACGAGACTGTTAGGCTTCGCTGTTCCCCGGCCAAATTTTTTCCTGTTTTTAGAAATAGAGTTGCTGTTCCCTGGGGCTCCGGACTGTTGCCTGCAGAAAGTGCAGAAAGAGAAATTATGGCACTGAAGGGGGCCTGCATCTATTTTTAAAAACCCAAACAACCTTGATAGTGGCACTGAGGGAAAAGTCGAAAAATGAAGAAAATACAATTATGGTAATAAAGATTCAAACCTGTATTTGCTTCCCTCAATACTTTAAATAAAAGAAAATACTTTTGTTAGTCGCTGTCGGCACATGAACCAGAAAGAATAAAACAAATATTATAGAAGAAAACGATATGTCTCCAACTCCTTCAACTCCCCCCCCCCCCTCTCTCTCTCTCTCTCTCTCTCTCTCTCTCTCTCTCTCTCTCTCTCTTTCTCTCTCTATCTCTCCCTTTCTCCCCCTCCCTCTTTCTCTCTATCTCACCCCTCTCTCTTTCACCATCCCGCTCACTCTCCCTCTGCCGCTGTTTCCCTCTTTATTTTTTTCAATTCCCGGACCCACCCTCCCCCGCCCTCTCTCCTTTCGTGTTTTAAAATATTCCGTGGTTGTAGGTTCCTAGTGTTCAAGGCCTACGCGGAGGAACCAACGTTGGAGCTCTGTCACTTGGTCCGTTGAAAGCAGGAAAGTTGTGGCCTATGGTTTCCTGGAATATTGGGAACAATTCGATTTTTTCCAAAAAGATGAGCATTTTCAAATCTTAGTAACTTTGTTTATAGGCAAACAGTATAAAACAATGTAGTAACCCCAACTTAAATAAGTACATGCATCTTTATTGTAACCACTGATTTGTGAACATAATTTGTTCGTGTTCATAAAGATAAATCATATTAAGCCAGACTGTCTTACATTACAATCCTCGTAACGTACCCCCAACAACAGAGAAAAACAACATAGATATCTGAAAATGAAATAATGCCCCGTCCATAATACTTAACGTTTATGATCAAACACACTTCTTGATGTTTCCTGAATGCTACTATTCCAGCCTTTCAGTTGTTCAAAGAGAAACTATCATTTTGTACGGACAAATAAAGAAAACGGGTATCTGCGGTGTAACGATTTAAGCGTTTTCCACGTCACACATAGGAGACTTTTGTGCTATCCACGTATGGGGAGAATTTCCATCGAGTCTCTCTGTCTATCTGCTGGGGCATTGAACCTCTCTCAGCCTGGGTTGGCTCTTATAGCAGAGTCGAAGCTCGCCTCTTAGATGATGTAAATTGTGTTGATGAGGCTACATAAAAATGAACATAAAAAAGAATGAGGTATATTCCCGGACATCATACAAGCGTAAGAAGTCCACAAAGTGTCCAGAAAAGCGGTACCCTGATAAAATACTCACATATGTTATGTACGGTACCCTGACAAAAATCTTACCGGTGCATTCTGATAAACCTTTTCTCTATCAATAATATGGTTCATGTGGCTCTTTTGTGGCTTTCTGCCTTTTTCTGAGGAAAAAAGAACAATTTTTTATTCTTGAGGAGTTTCCATTGCTTGAAACCACCTAGCTCGGTCTTATCGGAGATGAACAATATGTTTGAGGGCTTGTTACTGAAAACACTGTTTTGAAAGGTGGAATGGTACATCATCATCCAGTGCCAGATCTGCGACAGACATCGGCGATCATGGCTCTCCATTCATTCCTTTGCTCGGATGCTCTAAAAAAAAAGCTACGTTTCATCTGATCTCTCCCTATTACCCATTTGTTTAGATTACCCAAGTATATTGTTCTGGGTCTTCCCCTGCCTCGCTTGCCCTTAATTTTGCCTGTGAGAGCTAGGTGTTCAAGACCCTTATGTCTATTTATGTGTCTCAAAAAATGCATAATTTGTCGTTTCCTGATAGTTTTTAACATTGAGCGGCCCACGTGGGCTTCATCAAACACTACCCACAGAATTCTACACTTATAGAAGCGGAACTCCCTCTTCGCGATCGCTGATTCGCTGTGAGGAATTGAAACTAAAACATGTCGGCCAATTGAGGGCAGCTTTGGCTGCCCCGCACAGCGAGGCTTCGCGTTGCTATGCACGCTGATGCTAGTGGTAGGGCTTGGAAGACACCTTACATCAATATTTTAAAACTTACTTCGAAGAGCAAATGTAGTGAAATAGTCTAGTACATTTTTATTGCCAACAATAATATGTCATAATTGACAATGTTGCAATGTATTTGTGTTGTTGGTTTGGCTTTTTAAAAATTAAATGATGGGATGGGATCTAGATCTAGATCTTCTAAAGATCTTCACACTCACAATACCCTTGATAATAACACTAATTATGAACATTAATTCTGTTGGCAAAACATCTAGGTATAGTCTTGATTAGTACTATGATAGAGGGGACGCTGACAGTAACATGCTCACTACAATTACATTATCATTAAACTTAAGGCCATCCACAGCAAGCAAAAAAGAACAATATAAGCCTTTTCTCCAATTTACTAGAAAGAGATCAATACATTGAGCTTATATTGAGGAAATGTATTATTTGTCACTTTAAGAATTCGTCTCTGTGTTTGCATCAGTGAAATATAGTGTGTACAACATTCTTTGTTTAAAGCATGTGCGAGTCTAACAAATACAAGAGAATGGAGAATGTGTCTGTTGCACATAAAATATACACAGCTGCCAAAAACACAAAAATGCAGAAAAGGCCTGAAATATTGTTTTACACATAAAAGCAAATAATGCAAAACGAAGTAAACAAGAGAGGAACTGGCATATTATTATGTTTCCTGAATATATGTTCAAAGTCATTTTTGTGTGTGTTGAGAGTGTGGTTTCTTCTCCATGAATGATAGGCTCATTCAGATGTGATAATGAAGAAACTTGTGTCTACAGTCACAATAGAAAGACTTCCATGGCGAGTGATCACTGGTCAAGGATTTCAGTGCTGTGTGCATTTTGAGAAACATGTATCCCCATACCCTGGATCACATGTCGAGTAGATGGGCTTGTCCCCCTGTAATCCTCGCACACAGTAAACAAACACATATTTTTGAACACACACGTATAAGAAAAAATAAGTGGTCTCTTGTTACGGATCAAATTGAAGTCCTGTTACAATTCGATTAATTGATAACAGCGCGTATCGCAATGCATTGGCCAACTCTGCCCTATAGGCCTGTGCTATTTAATAAATTAATACATTCGTCAGACCTGGAATCTTTAATGCCCGCACACAGTAAACAAACACACATTTTTGAACACGTATAAAACAAAGCGGTCTCTTGTTACGGATCAAATCGAAGTCCTGTTGCAATTCAATAATTGATAATAGCGCGCATTGCAATGCATTGGCTAACCCAGCATTATAGGCTATTTAATAAATACATTCGTCAGATCTGGAATCTTAAATTGTAATCATAATTATATGAGCCCGCGCTTGGGAAGTGAAAGTGAAAGGAACTGAAAATTAAAGTAGGACTACATAAGCTTATAAAGGCCCAAAAAGGTGTATGGATGCGGAAATTAATGTTTCGGATGAAAATAATACGCTATCTACTCTAGCGTGCGGTCAAAATTTTTTGCGCAACTTATCAAATATCTAGGTTACTGAACTATCGAACATCTATATCCAGATTCTCCTACTTTTGCACATTGACTTAGATCTATATCAATTCGTCTTAACAGATGAGTATTTTTTCAAACTTTCGTACACATAGGTTCTACATTATTCAAGAAAATTCTTTAAAGAAAATTCTTTAATAAATACTAGCCCAATATTTTGAAAAAATCCCAGTCAATGGTTTCTACAGATTTTAAAAAGTTTACAGCTGGAGCTAAATCTCTTTTAAAAGCAAGTCCGTCCTTTTTTCTACTTCCGCTGGCGACATAAAGCTAATTATTGAACGCACATTTTGAGAACATTAATTAGATCTAGTGAAAAAATATGTTCAGTGTTAAACAGATTTCTTGTAACAGGTTTTGCTACTATAGCTTGTAACAAAATTGTTGCCGAATGTGTTGGTTCATCTAAAAAAATTGAGGAGGTTTACAATTTGTCCAACTTTCAGCACATGAATACTGTAAAACTTGTTTTGAATTAGTAACGATATATAGTATCTAGGAATGACTGTAACCAGAGTACCCTTATACAAATATTATGCATAAATGTATTATTTAAGCAAACAATATGCATTATTCATCATAAAATTTTGATTGCCATGGCCATGGCTAAACCAAATTTGGACCCCTCATTTTAAAAAATCCTCGCCCCGCACCTGAAAGAATACATTTTTAACTTTTGAGGAAAGCATAATATTATGTTTTTGTCTTTTCTGACAAATTTAAACTTTATTACGGTTTTGGCGACTCTGTGAATTGTCAAAACAGTCGTGAAAATCGTGAGTAGTGTTTTTCACAACTGCTGTTTTCTCTAGCTCATCTAGGCAAACAATCACTTTTGTTACTCACGAACACATGTGTCCGCCCAAGGAACAAGAGAGCGGTACTGTGGTCTGTCAGTAATTATCGAGAGTCATAGGCGTGTACGCTTTTTCATCCATTTGGGCTGTGTGGTTTTAATATTTTGAATTGTTCACTTGCTGAATAACATATTGTGATGAAGATGAAGTCTAAGCTAAAACTGAAATTCTTTACTCACAAGAACATTGCTCTGAAAGTATATAACTATTTCACTTGTGAGAAAAATCGCGGCCGTCTAAATCGTTCAATTTCTGATCCATTTAGCAGAACTAAACATTTGCTTGATTTAAGTGATAGGACTTTGAACAGATGGATATCGGAGGAAAATGCAACCGAAGACGTTGAGGTGACAAAGAGAGGCCGACCAGTTAAATTTGATACCTTTGACAGAGATCTCGTGGGACGCGCTATTGGAAAGATGTTAGGTGATAACCAGTACGTCACACTTAGAACACATATGTCTTATTTGAAAAGCGATCACGATTTGGATATCAACAAACAGACCTTATGGCGCATTGTGAAGAGTCTAGGTTTCAGTTTCAAGAAAACTAAAACATCCAAAGACGTAATTTGTGAGTCAAAGAACATGGTTGCACTGAGGGGGAAAGTACCTACGAAAATTAAAACACTTAGAGAAGACAACGTTGACATTTATTTTCTTGATGAGACCTAAATCAATGCCCACCACACGTGCACCAAAGAATGGCAATCTGACACCCAACAGAGAGTCATTCCGACTGGAAAAGGTAAACGTCCTATAGTTGCGCATATCGGAAGCCATGAGAGAGGACTAGTGAATAATTGTGAACTGGTTTTTGAGTCGAAGTCGAAAGATGAAAATGGCGACTATCACAAAGACATGGATAGTAACGAGTTTGAAAACTGGATTAGTAACACTGTGGTGCCTGCATTAGATAAAAAATCATGCCTGGTTATGGACAATGCATCATATCATAATGTAACTAATCCTGATGATAAAGTCCCTACAAAATCTATGAACAAATGCCCTATAATAGCCTGGCTTGATAAGCATGAGATCGACCATAGTACAGCGAAAACCAAAAAGGATCTCCTAGACATTGTGAACGCCAGCGAACAGAGCAAGATAGAAGTTTTTCGAGTAGACAAGTACCTGGAAGAACATGGTCACATACCTCTTAGGCTCCCTCCTTACCACCCCCAGCTTAAACCTATTGAATTAATCTGGGCTGAGATGAAGAAAAAGGTTGCTTTTGCAAATACAACATAAACTCCATGACGTTAAGCGACACACAAAGCAGGCCTTATCAAGTATAACTAAAGAATTTTGGCAAAAGTGTGAGGGCCATGTCAAAGCAACAGAGGAAAGATACTGGATAAATGATGGATTAAATTTCCCTAAGCAGCCTAGTGTGGTCATCAACCTGATTGACGATACATCTGATTCTGAATAATTGGTGAGTGTTAAAATATGTTTAAATGTGTCCCGTAGATCTGTCACTACCTCTCTCTAGGTTTGTCTGTCTGTCAGTGTAACCATCAATGTCGCTTCAGATAATGGTTATGAAATTTGTTCAGAACTGGCGACGCCTATGAACATCCGAGAAACTAGCAATTTGTCCGACTTTCAGCACGTGATTACTGTAAAACTTGTATTGAATTAGTAATGATACTTCGTAATTAATTAACCAGCCACAATTTCGGAAAATTGATTGCATTTCCCAGTGGATGAGATGGATAGTAAGCTCTTCTCGAAATATGAAGGTGATCGGTTGGGTAGTCTTTGAGATATCCTGCGTTAAACATCGGCAATATTTTTGTTACAGGCTATAATAAATGACGTAGGCCATATGCGTATGCAAAATGTGTGTGGGAAGCTAGAAGTGCTGTGAACAATCCCATCCGTGTTACTAATTTTTTTCACAGTTCTGTAGATCTTATATAAACTCTATATATGTATGCTTTTTCTGTAGTTGCACCCAAAAACACAACAATTTAAAACATTAATTCAAATCTCCAGGCTGCACAATGCACAGTGAATTCTGAAACTCAAAATTACAAACTGGACAGTAAATGTTCCACTTTTCACTTGTTTGTAAAAGCCACTCTTGCTTTAAAAGCTATATGGTTACTTCCGAAAACAATAAATCTTGCCCCTCGAGACGCCTTTGTTTTCGGTCTTCAATTCCTCACTGGTCACGTGGTACAGTGCCCGTTCTATAAGTGTAGAATTTCTGGCACTACCTCATTTGATTTCTTTTCCTTCCACGATTCTCTTAGCAGTCTCCTAAGAAACCACGACACGGCGTATAAAATTTAGCGAAACATAAATGTATGCGGCTACAACTTTCAGAACGGTTTGTGTACCTTGAAACACGATATTTTCGTGATAGAACTGTTCGTTTTATCGGGAATGGGCAAATGAAAAAATGCAGGAGGAGTTGCTAAACATGATGTAAGAGAGAAAGAGAGATTGTGAGTGCGCGCGCCCGCGCGCGCGCGTGTGTGTGTGTGTGTGTGCGCGTGTGTGCGTGTGTTGCGTGCGTGTGTGTGTGTGTGTGTGTGTG